TGTTCAAACGCAACAAAACTTTGTTGGTGGTGGGTTCTCCAGAGCAAAGGAAGAACCAAACGAAGAAACATCGTTTTTTGATTCGTTTTTGTCCTGAACCAAAAGAATCTGTTGTTCCTCTTTGTACATTTCTGCTTCAAGGGTTAACTACTTACTAGTGATCCTGCAGATAGTAAGACTATCGTTTACATAGAGAAATTATTTCATTTGTTTTTTTTTTCCGCGGCTCATACGAGCTTTCACACGCCTGTAATATCTTTACTGTTTGTTTGTATCATAGAACTAGCAAAACATGGAATAAAACCAATCAAGTTTCACTTTATGTAATGTGTCAAAGAACATCACACAAAGATTGTCACAGAACCGAATAACAGAAGTAAAATGTGTTTCAATCTGTATCAGCTATATGCACACACAAAGAATGAGATTTACACGTATCATCGCAGAGTTTTCACTATACTATTTGAACCACATATTGCAAATTTTCAGATAAAAGATTGAGTGGAGAGTTTGTAACCGGAGAAGAGAGCAGAGAGAGCTAAAGACGCGAAAGCGAAGAAAGCCATGCTAATAGCAGAAGCAGCTGAATCAGTGAATATGTTATCTTGACCTTCTCTGAATCTATTTGTCAATGGAATTGCAGAAGATGCAGCGGATATGAGTAGATACGCTACAATCTATACAACCACACAAAAACAATGTCATGACTCAGTCACAATGTTAAATCAAATTTGAAACAATCAAGATCGTATCTTTACCTGGTCACCGGAGAAATCGACCAAAACAGAAGTCCGGCGATCTAAAAACTCTCTTTTTGAGAAATGTACAAAAGTTTGCAACGCAGTGTATAACGTTGAGATAATCGCAATCGCCAATACATATCTGAGAGATGAAATCACAAATTGTTTAATAATTGAAAATTTCAAAAACTCTAATTTGAGATCCAAGTAACAGAATTTCGGACCTGTACTCTTCGTAGTCGTCGAAGTTTCGACCGTATCCATGTTTGTTCGAAACCATGATTATGAATGTAAGAAGAGAGAACAAAAGACCTAATCCTCTCATAATCGGAGATGCTTTTTTTATCAAATCATCTCTCTTCCATCTCTGAGTAATCGCTGAAAACGACGACGGTGTTGTTCCAGTCTCCGTCGTCTCCGCCGCCTTCTTCTCCGTTGTATCCGCCGCCTCGACGTCGGAATTCCGATTGTCGGGATTCGTCATAGTTACAATAGATCTCGATTCGGAATTCGTGCTTTGTTTCTTGTTCCTTAATAGTAGTTGCGAAGAATCTGGAGGAGGAATAACAAACTTGGAAGAAAAGGTTAATTGTGTTGTAATTAAGGTTTGGGTTTTATAGTAATGTTTGGTAATTAGATGAAGAAAGCGCGTGGCGGCGGGAGTGATTAAGGTAATAAATGTGATTGATGTTGAATAACAATGGTTAGACTTAATCGTGGTTTGCATTTTTTGTTTTTTTGAGACAGCGAATTCTGGAAGTTTCATTGGTGGACTGAATACAAGAACTTAGACACTACTTTTTCCCCCAAGAAAAATGTCATTTTGTTTTTTAAAGTAGAAAATCATTGTTTAATTGGGAGACGTTCAAGATGATGATTTATGTTGAAGATACTTTTAAAAATAAAAATGAAAATTTTCCAGTACCATAGATGTCCAAAAAGATCGAGTGGGTCACTTAGGGTCTTTCTTTTGGTATTATATCTTCCGATATCCGATTGGGAAGAAGAAAAAAAAAGACCTTAAACGATTCTGGACAATTTATAGATTTTTTGGTATATACAATTTCCGGGATGCCATTATGATCTTAGACCATTAGAGCATGTTTATCAGTGAGATTTTAGGGGTATCACAAAACAAAACTAATTAAAATTTTAATTAATGAAGAAGTTTTCGTGTGAGTCGTCTCAATCGAGGACACGTGTCAACGTGCTATTGGACCTTTTTTCTTTTGTGGTCGAAACCAACTTCTCTTTCGCGATTCCAATGGCGATCCGGCGATCTTGATCCAATTTCAATCCTCAACACCTTCCTTCTCCGGCTTGATTCTCTCCTCTGTCACGATGTCTCTCTCCCGCACTATCCTCGATCTCCACCGTCAAACCCACAAACTATCTCTTTCAAAGCCTCTACCTTTCTCGATGAGTAACATCTCCGCTAACTCCGCCACGAGATTCCAGCTGAAAAGAGACATCTCATCGATCCCATTCGCCCTAACCCAGAGACTGAAACCGGATTTCACCGATCGTTTGATTTCTTCGCTTCGACAATCCGATCTCGAAAAGTCGGCGAGATTAGAGATTAAATTATTAATAAAATTAATATTAAATTAATGTTAATGATATTTTTTTAGTATCACTAATAAACATGCTCTTAGGATCGGTTAGAGTTTTCTGGATCTCTTATTCCAATTGTGAGTTTTCTATAAAATTCTAAGCAAAGAAACGAAAAAAGGTTTATGAATGAGAATTATGGGGAGACCGAGACTTTTATTTATAGCTTCGATTTTACTTAGTCACCAATGTAAGACTTTTTTCTTTTTAAATTTCTTTTTTCAAAGAAATCAGATTTCTTTTATGCTAAGAATGGGCCTTGAGCGGTTTGTGCAATCCAAAGTGCGGACTGTATTTTTGTCACCATTCCAAGAAAATTGAAACAGTTTTATGACTGTAATTTTTCAAAAAAAATAAATAGAAAAATATGACAGCATTTTGAGCGGTGCAGGATAAGCGGTTTTAGAGATGCGGTGCGGTTTTTGATAAGGACGAAGTTTCTACCATTCTTATTTCTACTTGGTCTGTGGTTTGCATTTATTTTCTTTCCAAGCCTAGAATTTTGGAAGTTACATTGGTTGACTGGAAAAAAGTTTAATTTATATTGGGTTTAACTATTATTTCTAAGAAACAAATCATTTTTTTTTGTTTTTGTCAACAGCATCATAAGACCTTATCACCAATTGGTTACCCAAGTAGGTGGTGACGAACTTACAAAAATAACATTATGTAAAGATATGCGCGCACAATTCGCTAGCCGGTCAGCTCGTGAATTCCTAGTGCGTGGAATTAGGGACAACGAGAAGTAGGAAAACTTC